GAGACAACTGGATATATCACCATCAGTGAGCAGGGCTTGGAGAGGTGTCCCCACATGCTGCATAGTTGCCTGAGAGACAGCTGCCACACGGCACCAAGTGAGCAGTTGAGTCCCAGATCTGGGACATGATAAGCCTGAAATGGGAAGAAGAAGCAATAGGGCTGCCACTGGTATTGGATATAGCAGCTTCAGTAAAATCGTGTAATTTTGTAATCCAAGTGAGGCCAGACTTGGGATGAAATATTCATATAATGAAAACATGGGCAGAATAAAAACATGAGACCAAAGCAGACTACATCCCCAACCTCCTCACATCCAAGGTGCTAAAAGGCTCCAGTCTTCAAGCACATGAGCAGTCAGTAGGTACCTCCCTGACTACACAGCATGTTAAGAGAAAATATAATAAGAGCAACACAACAAATGCCAAAGGAAGCTCAAGGAAGTGTCCAGCCATGGCACAGTTATCATGGCAGCAAATGAGCTGTGCACTTGAACAGACCCAAGCAAGCTAAATAGTGCACTAAACAACCTCCATCCAAGTGTCTACAATGAAAGAAACCTTACCTGACTTGGCAAAAGGGTAAAAAAAGATATCCCCAGTGATGAATGGCAATGTTGGAGATTGGCATGAGCTACTAGGCGATGAAAGTGGACTCCTTGCCTTGTTCTGAGTACCAGACTGTCATTTGGGATCAAAAGTAGAGATGCCGCCAGCAAGACACACTAACAAGACTCTCAGGGATCCATGTCACTGCTGATGACATTTAGTGGTAGAGACGAGCAGACAGCTTGCTGGAAACTGTGGCAGTTAAAGGGTACAACTGGCTTTGTCAGCCAAAATAATAGGAAAGCAATTGGACCCATTTGACAATACCAAGCTGAAACTGTGTTGCTGCACTCTTCACTTGGTGATCTTCCAAGGGTAGCGTGGGAGAAGTTCAAACCAGGGCAAATCCACTCAAGGGGAAACCAGTTGCTAACCATGGCTGGATGCCCCAAAACACCCTCAACACTTGCTACTCAATGGGGCACACAGATGAGAAACTTGTTCAGATCAGTCTTGTGAGTAATCCCTGCTGAAACCAAGCCTGACTGGTCCCAAAAAAGTGTGCCTTTGCCACACTTCCCAGGATATTGCACCAGATGTCTTTTAGCAGTACTCAGCCCTCTCCCTGCTGCTGGCAGCCCTGGCACAGGCAGCCTGGTTTCATCACTAAGCCTTATTTGCTGTACCATGGACTGGCCTGGCCACCAGCAATTAGTCCCTGAGGAAAGGGTTTATTCCACTTGCAGCTGACTCTCTGCCAGGCCCATCAATGCTTCAGTTCAGGGACGCTCAGGACCTTACTAGCACCCTCATGAGTGTTAATCTGAGGAGAGCCAGCCCTGGCACCACGGTACTAGAGGTTCCTATGTGCCACATAAGCAGTGGGGCACCCCTTCTTAAAGGCTAGGCCTGTCACCTGGAAGAGGTGGTTTTGGCAGCAGCAGGCAAAGCACTTGAAGATTAACCCCCACTCAGGGGCACTCCCCATGGAAGCACAGGGAATTTTGCCACGGACATCCCCTGTGGGCAGAAACACACCTTTGAAGACAAAAAACAAAGTCCTCCATGGGGCTTTGTTGGTCCTATGTCCAGTATCCTCCCGAAGTCACCTGCTGTTGTTTTCCAGGCCCATAAATGGAAGAACATGTCAAGTGGCAGGAGCCACAATACAGCTCAGAGAAGATTGCCAAAACAGCCTATGGAAGGGCGGAGCTCCCAGCCCTGCACCAGAGAAGGGACAAGGGGAGACCTGGGGATAGGGGGAGTCAGTGAAGCCCCCTCAGCATCCCAGGAGAAGGGGACATCACTGGGTGCCAGTGAGCAGAGAAACCCCCCGTACCAGCTCCCTGTCTGCCTCTCCTCCTTCCCCAGAGCATGGAGCTGCACTGTGCCTGCTTTTTGGCAGCTTTGCAGCACTGGATGCAGCTGTACCCCATTTCTCAGCGGTGTGAATGGGATCTGCAGAAGCCAGAGGCATCTGATCTCTCCAGCTAGCCAGAAAGCACAGGTCAGAGCCTGAGCTGGTTGTTTCTCCAGTTGAAGGAAGGCAGGTGACAGGAGATGTGCCATAAAACTCATCTGTGCAATGCTACACCAGCAGTGCCCTCAGTGCACACTCAGACAGGCAGAGGGAATCTATGCAGCAACATCAGCACTTTGGGGCATAGGATTCTGGGGGTTTTTTTCTGGTTCTGGGAACCCTAAAGCTGGATTTACAGTATTGTCAAATCACAGTACACAAGAGGTCTGAAGAACTGGGAAGTTCGCAGTTCCTTCTGGGAAGATGGGTATGTTGTCAGTCCAGTGAACAAATTACAGCCAAACCCCTGCTAAAGCAGAGTTGCTCACGAACTGTATTTGCACTTTAACCCTGGTAGCACCTTTGCAATGTTTTCCCATTAAAACTCTTTAGTTAAGCACTGATTGCATTATTCTGAAATAAATCTTGGAGTTCGAGGCTGTTTAATATCAAGGGTTGGATTTGGATCCAAGCTGTGCATGTATAACCACACCAGCCTCATCTGAGCTGATTCTGCTCCTCACCCACATGCTGAAGACAGTAATCTGCATCCCCCACCACATCTGCCATGTGCACTCTGTGCTGGTGCTTGACGTGACTAGAAGCCCAGAAAAATCTCTTACTGATGCAGCTCAGCTGAAACCACAGCAGCCAAAGTGATACAACTTCAGAGATGCCCTCTACCTTAGCTGAGCTGGTACAGCAGAGCAAATGCATGGCCATCAGGATCACCTACTAACACTACAAGGCAGGGAAGAGCTCAGTGACATGGGACCTCTTGGAATGGAACCACTACCAGCCAGCCCCAACTGGGCACAGCAGGATCTACCTCCCAAAGCACACAGGTCCCATCCAGGGCTGGTGCAGAAAGACCGGGCCTCTGAGAGTCAGTCCTGGGAGAGAATCCACCCTGACCACCAAGGGAAACCCACAATTCTTAGAAGACCTCACTGGGGCTCACTCATGGCTGCAGGCAAGGTTTCAAGACAGCCTGAACTTTAAAGCACCCGCCTGAGTGTCCATAGGATGAGGCAGAAGGCCTTAGAAAGGCTGGAGCATTCGCTCTCTAAACTCCCAATCGTCCAGTACAGATTTTACTTTGCTTAGAGCTCTTCAAAGGCTTTCCTGGAGAGTTAGCTATCTGCACCAGAGGGAGAATTAGTGTTTTAGCAAAATCCTCACTTGTTTGGGCTGCTTTTGTAACACTGAGGGAACTTTTGTTCCTTGAGAGCTTTTACCCCTTACCAGAAATAGTCTATTCGTATCCCTTAATAGAAAACAGTTTGCAAACCGAACAACACTCAGTTTTGGTGCCTCTGTTCATTTTTTGAAACTGACTCTCCATGGACCATGTGAAGGCAAATGAGTTGCAGGTATGAGAGGGGAAGCAAAAATTCCAAATATGTGACATTCTCCGGTCCTCCCAATGAAGTTAAATTGGGAAGCTTGCAACGTCTTTCAACTCCTTGTGTTGAGTAATGGGAAGTAATGCTTTCCTGAATTTAGGATTATTAAATGCCAGATTCCTCTGTGCCTTCACAGCAAAGAGGTTTTTGTGCTGCAGGTAATCACTGCCATGGAGAAATCATTCCAGCAAGGAGCCACAGCTTCTGCCCTCTGGCAGATGCCAAGCAGTGCCACCAATTGCTGCAGCAGCTCCTCCCAGCAGCCCCCTGCAAGAGCGCAGACATCAATGCTTCTTGGCTCTGGCTGCCCTTTGGCAGGGAAGTCCACAGGGGCACAAGTCTTTGGGACAGGAGATGGGCACCACTCCTGCCAGGACTTGGGGCACTGGCAGGTCTCCTTTGGCAGGGACTTGCCAGACCTGCCAATTTCGGTGCAGCCCTGGCCAAAGGGGTCAGAGCAGCATTCGTGCCCTTGCCCACAAATTTGCTTCTCTGTGTAACACCCCTGTGTTTGTGATGGCCACCAGCCAGGATTTCTCCCAAGGAGGCCATGCCAGCTTCTGTGGAGGCCCCGTGCCCATCCCGCTGCGGCTGCGTCAGCAGCCAAGGGGGCTGCTTCTGCTGCCATGAGCAGGCACAGGAGGAAGTGTTTGCTCCTTTTTGGAGACGTTCCTAAAGTTCACGTCCAGCTGTCTGAGACACTTTAGGAAATGGATTCCTTGCAACCTGGGGCAGGTTGGCTGGGCTGGGGGAGGCCCCTGGGCACATGGCAGTGTGTCACAGGGCCCTTTGTGACACGGTGGTCATCGCCAATGGGATGGGGCAGTGTGTCCAAGGGCCCTTTGTGACACGTCCTGATATAGGTGTGTGGCAGCAACACGGCCACGCCACTGTGCTCGGAGCACGCGTCTGGACAGGACGGGACAGAGCGGTGCTGTGAGGAGTTTCCTCGCAGCCAACTCGTTCCTCACTGACCCGAAGCATTTCCGAGGATTCTTCTACTAGCAACATCCCTCGAGGCCAGACCACAGGAGCTGGTGACCCGGAGCTTCTCCGAGGCACCACCACTCCTGGTGGAAGGTGCCCTCGAGGCCAGACCACGGGAGTTGGTGACCCAGAGCTTCTCCGAGGCATCATCACTCCCTGTGGAAGGTGCCCTTGAGGCCACACCACAGGACTTGGGGATCCGCAGCTTGTCTGAGGGGTCTCCAATCCCTGTGGAAGGTGCCCTTGAGGCCAGACCACAGGACTTGGGGACCCACAGCTTGTCTGAGGGGTCTCCAATCCCTGTGGAAGGTGCCCTTGGGGTCAGACCACAGGACTTGGGGACCCACAGCTTGTCTGAGTGGTCTCCAATCCCTGTGGAAGGTGCCCTTGAGGCCAGACCACAGGACTTGGGGACCCACAGTTTGTCTGAGGGGTCTCCAATCCCTGTGGAAGGTCCCCTTGGGGCCATTCTGCAGAACTTGTGACCAGAGGCTTTTCCGAGTTGTCTCTCCTGCAGGTGCCCTCGAGGCCAGACTGTGGCATGGCAGGGAGACGCTCTGGCCTGTGCAGGTTTCTCAGGAAGAAGAACGAAGGCCCTGGGCCTGCCCCAGCACGGCAACCTGAGGAGATGCAAAACTTCCAGCCCCTGCAGCAGGGTGAGCGCTGGAGCTGGGCCACAGGGCTGGTGGCTGCAGCCAGTTTGGCCCCTTCCCGTCCCCTGTGGAACAAGCCCAGCCAAAGGGAGGGAGGAAGAGGGGTCAAGGCTGACCCCCCCCAGCACCCCTGCTCCATCCACTGGGCATCCCAATGCTGGCCCTGCCTGTGGAGCACAGGGCCGGGCTGTGTTCTCTGCCATCTCCCACAACCCCACAGCCCTGACTGCAATTGCCCTTTGGCAGATCCAGGCCAGCACCGGACAGAAGAACACGTCCGTGCCCGCGGCCGCTTCCGCAGAGCAGTTCAGGTACCTGCAGCCATCTCCACCTGGGCTGCGCCTCATGTCACCGCTCACTGCGGTTGGAGCACTGCTGTTGGAGCACTCCATCGGAATTTCCTCTCTTCCCTGCCCTTTCTTCTCCTGCAGAGGTTTCTGAAATTCATAGGGATTCGGCGTAGAACACCCAGGACCACACCACCTGAGGGCACGGCACAGCCTGACACCAGGCCAAACGACCCCAAGGCAAAGCCTGATGTCGACTCCACGCTGACTGATCCCACGGCAACCTCTGACACTGCTTTGACCCGTGACCTGACAAGCCCTATCACCACACTGACCCACCTCATGGCGACGGCTGATATCGCACCGATTCATTGTGCAGCAAACTCGGACACCGCTTTGGCTGATGAGACAACCACCTCTGGCACAGCACCGACTGATCTCATGGCAAAGGCTGACATCGCACTGATGCTGATGGGTGGCACATCAAACCTTGACACGGCATCAATGGATGGCACAGGAATCTCTGGCACTGCGACGACTGATGAAGTAACAAATGCTGAAACCACACCGACTGATGTCATGGAAAAGTCCGACACCACAACGACTGAGAGCATCGTGAACGCTGACACCACACCCACACACAGTGTGACTGATGCTCCCAATTTGGACTTTTTCAAGGAAAAAGGTGTCCCCAATCAGAAGCAAGTAAGCAGTCTGTGGCCAGGGTTTGAGTCCCCCAGGGGTCTTGTGGCACCTCAAGCTTCATCTGCTGGACCCCTAAGCTTTTGAGGCCAGCGCAGTGTGGGGAGAAGAGAAGCATTTCTCAGGGGAAGCTGGGCAACTTGCTCACTCTGGTAGCTCTTCAACTCTCCCCCATTTCCCCTCCAGGTTCCGGCCATCGTGAGGTACATCCACCAGTGCCTCACGTTCCATATGTCTTCAGATGTCAGCCTCCACACTAACATTCTCAGCCTGGTTGGTGCACACCCTCATGATGTGGTGATGTCTCTCCTGCACCGTGCCCCAGCGTGTGACAGGTACAGGGCCCAGCTGCCCTCCTGGCTCAGGGCTCACCAGCCTTTAGAACCCATCACCCCAGAGAGCCTGTCCCACCTGCTCTCACAGACACATGGAGACTTCCAGGACCCTCTGGCCCCTCCATTTCCCAGCCCTGGCCTGTCAGCCCCCAATCCTGCTGACACATGCCCTCCCTGCCCCTCAAGGCACTGTGACTCTGTCACCTGGGCCCCCACAGCTGCCCAGGCCAGGGCATTGTGGCCAAGACTCCCTTGACACAGGGCTCTGGCTCCACAGAGCTGCTGCAATGATCTGGAGGACCATCGCCTCCTCAGGAACGACAGCAGAGAAGGTGCTCCCAACACTGCTGCAAGTCATGGAGGACTGGCCACTGTACAGCCTGTCCTCCTCTGACGGCGACAACAAAGACGTCTTTGCCCTGGCTGTGAGTTTCTGCAACTGGCCTTTCCTCCTCCCCAGGTCACCTCTCCAGCCGCTCTCCATCCTCCCCCACCACTGCATCTCCCTGCCTCAGGCATTGGGCTACAAAGCTGGCTGAGGGGCAGGTTCAGGGCCACCAGGCCGGCTCCTCCCCCTGCGTCTCCCCTGCCCTCTCCCTCCCACACTCAGGCCCTGCTCATGGACGTCTGGCCACTGAGCGCTGTCTCCACGTGGTTTTATTGCAGGCAACCCTGGCACTGCGGCTGATCATGCAGGAGCCCCAGTGCCAAGATGCACTGATGATTTATGCCCCCCAACTCCTCGTGGCTCTGCTTTTCCAAGTCTTCATGAGCACAGAGCAGATGCCAGAGGAGGCCAAGATGTTCTGGAGGCAATGCCAGGAGCAACATGACCTTCCCAACGACCCCAACAGGTGCTCCATCCCAGTCCTCTCTCCCTCCCATGCCCTCGGGGCTGGGCCCAGGGCTCCCAGCATGACCTGGCCTTTGCTGTGCACACAGGTTTGCAGTGCAGACCATCAAGGCCCTGCTCTGCTGTCTACACTCGGAGAATGAGGTGGTGGCAATTGAACGTAAGCGTGGCTGGGACACCCTCCTCCATCCTGACACCCACCACTATGCAGTGGGGCTGCTGGCCAGGTGAAACACCCTTCTCCCTGCTGCCACAATCATCTCTCCCATGGGCACGGGGCACCCCACACAGCCCCTGTGGTCATGGGCCAGAGAATCTTGGCACCAAGGGATGGATGAGCAGTTCGGAAAAGGCTGTGAGAGGAGGGTGCACAGGAGGAGCCACCTCCCAAAACTCTCGTGTCCCGTCCAGGGCTGGTGGGGAAAGACCAGGCCTCTTGGAATCAGTCCTGGGAGAGCTTTGCCCACCCTGCTCAGGATCAATGGCTTTTTTTTTCTTCACAGGGAGATGCGCAGCGTTTTGATCCCCTTCTATTCCCTGATCGCAACCCACCTGCTCGGGCTGCTCAGCAGGGAGGAGCCCCACTGGGAGCTGCCTGCCCTGGCCTTCCTTGTTGAGGTGAGCCTGATGGCAAGCGCTGCCTCACCCACCTGCCTCCCCCCTCTCTGCCCTCACACAGCCACAGCTGCCCACGATGTTGCCTGCAACCTGTGCTGCTGCCTGGGCCCAGCCTCTGCGGCTCCAGGCTCCTGCTGCCCAGGTACCCCATCACTGCTCTCTGCCTTCCAGCTCCTGGACTATGTGGAGGGGAGAAGATGTCATGAGAGTGTCCTGCCAATCCTATCAAGGCACCTGCAGAGCCAGTGCCCTGAGAGCCGTCGCCTGGCACTCAGAGGACTCCTGGTGCTCAGTGTGGATCCCTCAATGGTGAGAAGGGGACACCCGGCTGAAGCCATACTGGCAGCCTGGGGCTGGGGAGCTCAGTCTCTTGGGCTTGGTTGGGCTTTGGGAGCTGTGGCAGCTGCTCCCAGCTCTCCTGCCTCCCTCTTCAGCTGCCTGAGCCTTGTAGGACAGGCCTTTGGGGCAGCAGCGTGGGGTTGCACTGCCAGAGAGCTGTTGGTGGTGCAGCTGTTCAGGGCTTCACAGCACAGCACTGTCTTCCACACAGGCCGAAAGCATCTGCAGCCTGGCTGAGCACCTCGTGGAGCTGCTTCATGATGGAGATGGAGATGTGGTCACCATGACCCTCTCTGTGTTCCTGAATATGTTCCGGGAGAAAAACTTCGAAGCATTCAGCTCCACTGCCCCAAAGCTGGCTGAGGCGCTCCGGCCACTCTTTGATAACGTAAGGCTCTGGGTGCCTGGTGCTGCCTGGAAACGTTGTGCCCTGTGGATTTTCAGGCCTGTACCTGTGCCTGCTGGGCCTGGAGCAGCCAGTGCTGAGGCCTTTTTCTTCTCTTTTACACCAGGACAACACCCAAGTGCAGCTGCTCTCTGTTCGCCTCTCCCAGGAGGTCATGGAGTTGCTTGTGGAAGAGGGAACAAATACGCAGGTGCATCACAGCCTCGTGCCACTGTTCTTCCACTGGCACAATGAGAACCAGTGCATGGCAGAGGTGAGCACTTGTGGGCTCTGGTGTTCTTGTGGCAGGGGGCTTGGCCATCTCCTGCCCTGGTGCCTCGCAGGCTCCAGCCTTCTCCTGGTCTTGGCCCAGGGATACACATCCTGTGCCCTGGGCTGTGATGCCATGTCCTGGTCTCTGCTGCTCGGCAGGCCTCTTAGGGATGCTAGGTACCCACTAAAGACACTCTCTCACTCCTCTCTGCAACTGGATAGAGCAGAGAAAATCCAACAAAGGATTCAGGAGTTAGGAGCTGAGAGAGATCACTTACTGATCACCATTGTGGGCAAAACAGATTCAAAGTGGAGATATTAACTAAATTTATTACTAACATAATCTGAGCAATACAGTGAGAAGAAAAAAATACCTAAAAGCACCTTCTCCCCACCCCTCCTTCCTTCCAAATTCTACCTCCTCTTTCCCCAAAGAGTGCAGGGAGACAGGCAATGGATCTTATGGTCTGTTGTTGTTTCTGCTGCTGCTCAGGGAGAGGACTCCTTCCCCTGCTTCCTGTGGGGTCCCTCCCACAGCAGACACTCCTTCAGGAACCTCTGCAGCATGAGTCCACCCCACGGGCAACAATTCTTCACAAAATGCTGCCACAGGGATCCCATTTCCATGGGGTGCAGTCCTTCAGGAACAAGCTGCTCCAGCTTGGGTCCCCCATAGGGCCACAGGTCCTGCCAGGGAAACCTGCTCCAGAGTGGGCTCTTCTCTCCATGGGCTGCAGGCCCCTGACAAGACCCTGCTCCAGCATGGGCCTCCCACAGGGTCACAGCCTCCTTTGGGCATCCACCCGCTCTGTTGTGGCTCCTCCATGGGCTGCAGGTGGATCTCTGCAGCCCGCTTCTCCTTCATGGGTTGCAGAGGCACAGCTGCTTCACCATGGTCTGCACCAGGGGCTGCAGGGGAACCTCAGCTCTGGTGCCTGGAGCACCTCCTGCCCCTCCTTCTGCACTGACTTTGGTGTCTACCTTGTTCCCATCTTCTCACTCTGCTCTTCCCTGGCTGAAATTTTCCTCTGTGCGATAAATTTCTTTCCTTGATTAAATATGTTATCATGGAGGCATTACTGTTGTTACTGATTGGCTCAGCCTTGTCCAGCAGCAGGTCCATCCTGGAGCTGGCTGGCATTGGCTCTGCCAAACGGGAGGAAACTTCTAGCAGCTTCTAACAGAGGCCAGCCTCGTAGTCCCCCTGCTAGCAAGACCTGGCCACAGGAACCCAACACAGCCCCCAATTTAGATTTGTCAATGAGAAAGATATTCCCAATCAGAAGCAAGTAAGCAGCAAGTCGCAACAGCTGGAATCCCCCAGGGGTCTTGTGGCACCTCAAGCTGCATCTGCTGGTCCCCTAAGCCTTTCAGACCAGCACAGTGTGAAGGGAAGGGAAGCATTTCTCCGGAGAAGCTGGGCAACTTGCTCACTCTGGCAGCTCTCCAACTCTCCCCCATTCTCCCTCCAGGTTCCGGCCATCGTGAGGTACATCCACCAGTGCCTCACGTTCCATGTGTCTTCAGATGTCAGCCTCCACACTAACATTCTCAGCCTGGTTGGTGCACACCCTCATGACGTGGTGATGTCTCTCCTGCACCGTGCCCCAGTGTGTGACAGGTACAGGGCCCAGCTGCCCTCCTGGCTCAGGGCTCACCAGCCTTTAGAACCCATCACCCCAGAGAGCCTGTCCCACCTGCTCTCACAGACACATGGAGACTTCCAGGACCCTCTGACCCCTCCATTTCCCAGCCCTGGCCTGTCAGCCCCCAATCCTGCTGCCATGTACCCTCCCTGCCCCTCAAGGCACTGTGATTCTGTCACCTGGGCCCCCACAGCTGCCCAGGCCAGGGCATTGTGGCCAAGAGCCCCCTGACACAGGGCTCTGGCTCCACAGAGCTGCTGCAATGATCTGGAGGACCATCGCCTCCTCAGGAACGACAGCAGAGAAGGTGCTCCCAACACTGCTGCAAGTCATGGAGGACTGGCCACTGTACAGCCTGTCCTCCTCCGACGGCGACAACAAAGACGTCTTTGCCCTGGCTGTGAGTTTCTGCAACTGGCCTTTCCTCCTCCCCAGGTCACCTCTCCAGCCGCTCTCCATCCTCCCCCACCACTGCATCTCCCTGCCTCAGGCATTGGGCTGCAAAGCTGGCTGAAGGGCAGGTTCAGGGCCACCAGGCCGGCTCCTCCCCCTGTGTCTCCCCTGCCCTCTCCCTCCCACACTCAGGCCCTGCTCATGGATGTCTGGCCACTGAGCGCTGTCTCCACGTGGTTTTATTGCAGGCAACCCTGGCACTGCGGCTGATCATGCAGGAGCCCCAGTGCCAAGATGCACTGATGATTTATGCCCCCCAACTCCTCGTGGCTCTGCTTTTCCAAGTCTACATGAGCACAGAGCAGATGCCAGAGGAGGTCAAGACCTTCTGGAGGCAATGCCAGGAGCAACATGACCTTCCCAACGACCCCAACAGGTGCTCCATCCCAGTCCTCTCTCCCTCCCATGCCCTCGGGGCTGGGCCCAGGGCTCCCAGCATGACCTGGCCTTTGCTGTGCACACAGGTTTGCAGTACAGACCATCAAGGCCCTGCTCTGCTGTCTGCACTGGGAGGATGCGATGGTGGCAGTGGAACGCAAGCGTGGCTGGGACACCCTCCTCCATCCTGACACCCACCACTATGCAGTGGGGCTGCTGGCCAGGTGAGACACCCTTCTCCCTGCTGCCACCACCATCTCTCCCATGGGCACGGGGCACCCCACACAGCCCCTGTGGTCATGGGCCAGAGGGTCTTGGCACCAAGGGATGGATGAACAGTTAGGAAAAGGAAGCGAGAGGAGGGTGCACAGGAGGAGCCACCTCCCAAAGAGCCCGTGTCCATGCAGGGCTACGGGAGGAAGACCAGGCCTCTGGGCGTCAGTCCTGGAAGAGCTTTGCTCACCCTGCTCAGGGTTGATGGCTCTTTTTTTTCCTTGACAGGGAGATGCACAGCATTTTCATCCCCTTCTATTCCCTGATCACAACCCATCTGCTTGGGCTGCTCAGCAAGGAGAAGTCCAGTTGGGAGCTGCCTGCCCTGGCCTTCCTTGTTGAGGTGAGCCTGGTGGCAAGCCCTGCCTCAACCACCTGCCTCCCCCCTCTCTGCCCTCTCACAGCTTCAATTGCCCACGACCTGTGCTGCTGCCTGGGCCCAGCCTTGGGCGGATCCGGGCTTTTGCAGCCTGGGCACCTCATCACTGCTCTCTGCCTTCCAGCTCCTGGACTATGTGGAGGGGAGAAGATGTCATGAGAGTGTCCTGCCAATCCTATCAAGGCACCTGCAGAGCCAGTGCCCTGAGAGCCATCGCCTGGCACTCAGAGGACTCCTGGTGCTCAGTGTGGATCCCTCAATGGTGAGAAGGGGACACCCGGCTGAAGCCATACTGGCAGCCTGGGGCTGGGGAGCTCAGTCTCTTGGGCTTGGTTGGGCTTTGGGAGCTGTGGCAGCTGCTCCCAGCTCTCCTGCCTCCCTCTTCAGCTACCTGGGCCTTGTAGGACAGGCCTTTGGGGCAGCAGCGTGGGGTTGCACTGCCAGAGAGCTGTTGGTGGTGCAGCTGTTCAGGGCTTCACAGCACAGCACTGTCTTCCACACAGGCCGAAAGCATCTGCAGCCTGGCTGAGCACCTCGTGGAGCTGCTTCATGATGGAGACGGAGATGTGGTTGCCATGACCCTCTCTGTATTCCTGAATATGCTCCAGGACAAGGACATCGAAGCATTCAGCTCCACTGCCCCGAGGCTGGCTGAGGCGCTCCGGCCACTCTTTGATAACGTAAGGCTCTGGGTGCCTGGTGCTGCCTGGAAACTTTGTGCCCTGTGGATTTTCAGGCCTGTGCCTATGCCTGCTGGGCCTGGAGCAGCCAGTGCTCAGGTCTTTTTCTCCTCTTTTGTACCAGGACAACACCCAAGTGCAGCTGCTCTCCCTTCGCCTCTTCCAAGAGGTGATGGAGTTGCTTGCAGAAGAGGGACGAAAGACCTTGAATATGCAGGTGCACCAGAGCCTGGTCCCCCTGTTCTTCCATCTGCACGATGAGAACCAGTGCGTGGCAGAGGTGAGCACCTGTGGGCTCTGGTGTCCCTGTGGCAGGGGGCTCGGCCGTCTCCTGCCCTGGTGCCTCGCAGGCTCCAGCCTCCTCCTGGTCTTGGCCCAGAGACGCAGGTCCTGTGCCCTGGGCTGTGATGCCATGTCCCACTCTCTGCTGCTCTGCAGGCCTCTCGGGAAACACTGCTTTGTGCTGCAAGTTTCCTCAAGAGGAGGGATCTCGAGCAGGTGCTGAGAAGACAGCAGCCCATCAAGTTCTGCGATTGCCTGGTAAGGACGACCCCCAAGGCCCAGCCCCAGGCTGGACAAGCCCCCAGCCCCAGATGCCCAGGGTGTGGGGTTGGCCCTGTGCCCCTGCCCACTGCTGCACCCACCTGTGGGACACCAGCCTGCACCCCATATGCTGCTGCCTTCCTTTGGCTCTGCAGGCTCTTCTCCAGGCTCCTCTGCCCCCGAGCCAGGGGGCTGCTGGAGCCCTGGCCCAGCTGGGCCGTGGGGCAGGGCAGCCCCATGGCTCCCCGGGAGCACCCAGTCCTCCACTCCCTCCAAAGCCCAGCACCACCAGGCCACAGGGCTCTGTGGGCAGGGCAGGCCATTGCTGGGTGCAGGCAGCGCCCGGCCAAGGGGCAGAACCTCAGCCAACCCTTCCCTCCATGCCCTTCTGCTCTCTCCAGATGGACAAGGATGTCAGCCGAAGGGATGAGCACCTGCACCAAGCCCTGCCATATCTGCAGAGCCCACAGCAGCCCCTGCGAGAGGTGGCCGTCAGGTTCATGGGTGAGCCACAAGCCCGCGGTCCCTCCCCACCCTGCTACAGCTCGGCCCCAGCCCCGGCTGCTGCAGCGGCAGCAGGATGCGGCCCAGGGATATGCTGTGGAGTCCCGAGTGCCCTGGCTGCTGCTGCCACCCTCTGCCAGCCACCCCCTTGGGTGTCCCGATGCGGGAAGGCCCCGAGCTCAGCCCCGCCAGGCTGGAGGACATGTGGCCAGGCTGGCAGCAGTGCTTGGGGGGAGCTGTGCTGCTGGGGCCCTGACAAGCTCTCTGTTCCCAGGGGTCGCCGCATGGCACATGCAAGACCTGCAGCCCGTCATGAAGGGTGAGTGAGGACAGCAGGGTGTCCCTGCAGGCCCGTGGGGAGGAGCTGCAATCCCTGCCCCACCTGCACAGGGCTCTGCTCCCTGCATGGATGAGGGGAGCGGCGGGCAGAGCAGAGACACATTTCAGGGTCATGGGGGGACTGAGGGCCAGTACCTTCTGACTCATCCTGGTGGGCCGTGCTCCCTCCTGGCCATGGCAAGAGCTGGCTGGGATGGCCCTGGCAGGAGGGGCTCCTCACCTCCCCACAGATCTGGGCTCTGACTGTGGCTCCCTTCTTCTCTCTTCCAGCCCTGGAAGCCATGACCAAAGATGACTGCTCCTCCTACTCCACCATGCAGAATGCAGTCTTGTCTGCTTTTCGACGGGCAGTAACTAAGTAATCTTCTCCACCAAGATAACCAATGTGCCTGGAACAGCACCGGACAACAGCAAAGACACCACTTCTCAGCGGTGCTGGGCTGGACCCAACTGAGCCTGGCGGCAAGGCCAGGCAGCTCCTGGCCTCTCCATCCCTCTGTACAGCTCCCTCCCTATGTACAGCTCCCTCCCTCCCTGCTTATTCCCTTCTCCTGCCCACAGTTCATCCCTCTCCTTCCCCTTAGGTTAAGAAGATTCATCCCTCCCCTTCCCCTTAGGTTAAGAAGATTCATCCCTCCCCTTCCCCTTAGGTTAAGAAGGTTCATCCCTCCCCTTCCCCTTAGATTAATAAACATTTGCTTTCTCCCCCTTGGCTGCATCTTTGTGGAAGTCAATTGGCACAAACCCTGAGCCCTGCAGCACACAGGCTCGCTCCTGCCTTTCTTTTGCCCCTTGCACCTTGGGCACAGACACAGAGGCACAAGGGCAGTTCAGGCTGCAAAGATCCGTGTCCTCAAGGTCCAGTTCCACAACATTAAGTAGAGCTGGAGATCTTGCTGGACACACTCAAGGCCAGTGAATTAAAAGGCCTTTACCCACACACTTAGCACATCTTCTCTATCTGGGCTTTTTCATTCATGGCAATATCAGTTTAGATCAGTCTAATTAAAAAAACTCACTCATTTCCCATCATCTCACAGGGACAAAAGTTCATAAAATACATGTCTAGCCAACAAGGGTTAGAAACTTTTCCCTCACCAAAGACCAAATGACTATTTCAGGCCACAGACTGCATCAGCCCTAAAAATCAACACTGCGGGAAGGATGAAATGAAAGAAACAGCACATGAAATGAAAGAAATGTGCATGCATCCATACTAGAGCATTATTAGGACTGATATTTTAGTCATGCAAATAAGGCTACCACCTCTGCAGCGGAGCAGTCCAATCCCACATGTAGCCAGTCTGGGGCAAAGAAAAGCTTGATACTTTAGCATCTACTAGATGACACAGCAATACTTGTCACGAGTTTGCCTGCCTCCGTCCCGGGCAATGAAATGGGAGTTTCTGCCTAATTTCTCTTCCTGCCCGCAGGACATTGAATTAAAAACTTACCCACAACAGGTCCTGGCTCAAAGTAGTTAGCTCAGCCACGTCACTGTAAGATGGATACTCATTTGGGTACTCACTAAGTCATAATAAGGCCAGGTTGTCCTCTCTCAGCATCTTGTTTGCTGTATGGAAATAGCCAGTCTGTCAAGCTGCTGCTGTAGCACCTCTGAGCATCTATAATTCATGTATGTACCCTGCAAATGTTGAAAAATATGCCAGAACTCAAGTCCTACATTCTTTGTTTTGCCTATCTGCATTTCCATGGCATCAGCCAGGTCTGCTGTACCCTCCTGGACCCCACAGGTGTCAGGGGTTCAGCACCACCCACCCGTGCTCATTTGGATTTTTGAGTATTTTCTTCAGCTACAAAAATGTTCTTTCCTGGTCTCAGATATGCACTGTATGGCATTTGGAATAAATATCTGCAGCTGCCTTTTTGATTTTTTTTCCCTCTTCTCCTTTTCCTGGTAACATTATGTTCTCCCAGGGAGGAAAAACATTAGCTTGTTGCTTGGGATGATTCAATTACTCAGCAGTAGGTCAGAGAAAAAAACAAACATTGGATTCTTCTTCTTGCATCCTCTAAGCAAAATCCTTGCTGGAGCACAGATGAACTGGAATTTCAGAGGGCATCTTAGGACCAGTAGCCCAAAACTACTGAAATAGTTTCTTTAAAATGCTTTGTTAAAAAAGGATTTATCTACAACCAGTAGCTAAACATTCATCTTCTTAAAAATATCTGGATTCGTTACTTATTATCAGGCCTAAATATTTTTCCCATTACTTGGAAAGAGGTGTGAAATTCAGCTAACACATACAAACCCTGAGTTTCATTAATAATGATGTCTGCTTTTGGAGAGTCCCATTCTCCTAGCACATGTTTGGATAAACTAGATCCAGATATAGACATCTCCCACAGTCTTCTTCAAGATTTTGTTCAAAGGAAGACTGTGTGTCAGCATTTGCTACCCCAGCTCTACACTTTCCCTGGATGTTGGCACACATGAAGCGTTGCAAAAGCTGGCGAGAATTTATATTCACACAAGCATTCACGCAAGGAGTACTCATGCTGTCATCACAGCGATAGGAGATGACAAAGGGGAGGTCCCAAACAAGGGACAAAATAATGCCCAGGCAATCAGTCAGACTAGATAAATAATGAAGAAATGCACTTCTGAGAAGCTTGAAAACAGTGCATAGCAAGGACAGGAAGATGCACTGCGAGCAAGAATGAGGAATTGATGCAACAAAGAATTTAAGCTAAATTTTGGTGCAAAGCCAAGGGCACAGCTCAAGAAAGCCTTCATTCAGCTATTACCCGACCACAGAAACACCCAGACGTTCCTCTTCGGCACTTCTAAGGCACCGGCACTCAGCCTCAGTGCCCGGGCTTGCCAGGATTGAGCAACCCAGTGCCTCCTTCAGCTCTGCCAGAGCAGACTGAGCAGCAGAGCTTGTGCACCCAGCCAGGCAGAGCACCTGCCTTCCCAGCCTGTGGGCACAGCTCCCTGAGAGTGGCCACAAATAAAGCTGGGGCATTTTCAACAGCCTAGCACTCACAGTGTGCAGCCAAAGGTGTGAAGGGAACCTCCTCTTCACATCTTAGTGCCAGTATGACCCAGCCATTGTGCTGGTCCACTCCAGCTCCCTGCCCTGAAACACTTCTCTGCTGCAGAAGCCAAGAGGGAGGTCCACTCAGCAAGGCACAGCTGGTGGAAACACAAAAGCAGGGCATCCCCCTGCCATGTTCCTCTGACTGTCTCTGTCATCCTTGGATTTGCTCCTTGGGATGGGGGATCCTGAAGGCTGTGATACAGCCAGGCCTGGGTCTTGGCTGAGGCATGAGAAGGTCACAGGGAAGGATGCAGTCACCAAAAAGCCTTTTTCTCAGGTGTGCCTCCAAAAAGGCACTCTGAGAATAGTCTGAGCAAAATCCCACCTGCCTGAAGTTCCATCAGAGAAGGTGACTTCATTGTTCTTATAAGCTCCTGGACCATTACAGGTAACATCACCTCAAAATATCTGTCACTGTTATCTGAGCTGTAGTAGGTCTTTCCCAAAGTGCTCTTTTCCTGGTTTATGGAGCCGAAGCGATTATGAAACCGTCACAGCTCCAAGTTAAGATCTTCTCCTGTTTTGGCAGGAACAACCCATCCCTTTCCAGAGCAAGGTGGGTTCCTGGCTGAGTTCTCTGCTTGCTTTGTCTTGGTTTTAAGGTGTGCAAATCAGAAAGGCTGTGTTGTAGGGTGTGCAATCAACATGGCTCTGTTGGCTTATGTCCAGGGCAGGAGCAACAGTGCAGTCCCTGAACTGACTTGCATATTTACTTTTATGATAAACCTAATCTAAGTTATCTGGGAGTTCCCAGATGGCAGACACTTCCCAGTATTTTATCAGAGCTGGATGTGGGAATGTGCCAGCCCTTCACACCCTTTACCAACACACTCTGCTTCCACAGAAAAATATGCCAGTGCATATGACAAAAGCTGCAAGAGAGGATGAGTGTGAACAAGTGGCCCAAGACCCTGGAGCAATGAAAGAGTCAGAGTATGTGTAGACTCAGACACCTCTCAGAGGGTGGGACACACAAAATACTGTGCATGACAAGATGATTCTTGAACTATTTTTCTTGATTTTCTGTGTGGGGCCTGGATGAAATACCCCTCAGAACAACATAAATATTTTTTGAGATCTCAGTGGAAACTCAGTCAACTTCAGTAAACTTTGTCAACAACAGAAATAGAGAGATCATCACAGAGATAATATATTTTATGAAGATTCTAATTTCTACTTCCTTAGTTTTAGTTTTTGAGGAGTGTTTTCTTAGAAACATACTTGTCTTTTCATGTTTCCTCTACTCAAGAATCACAGCAGAGAAATGATACATTTAAATTTGACAACTTTGGTGGCTTATTTTCCTGTTGTCACATCTTAAATCAAAGGGGAGAAGAACGCAAAGAACAAGATTGCCTGAGAACTGAGATAAACCTCCTCCTCTGGTTCACTGTGTGCCTGGTAGGATTTGCAGATATAGACTATCTAATCACATAAACGGAGTGGTGTTTACCCACAAGAACACCATGGAGAACAACAGTGAGCAACACTTTGCTATGGACTTATCAGCTTAGTAGGATTGGTTCAAAAAAGGTTTGGTATATTTTGGTTTTCTAGCCTACAGCTTTTCAAATATCTGTTGTTTGGGCTGAAGTTTTATTTACTGTGTACCCATTTTAGGTTGAATATCTCATGAGTTAGTCTGGATTTCAGAAATCTGTCAGAAATTAATTTATCTCTTTCCAACAAAAACCCTAAGGGGAAGGACACCTTGTTTTGCCCATGCAAAACCCAAAATTTCCTTTCTCATGTCGTTTAGGAACAAGATGTGGAACTAAGAAGTGAAGTAAATTCTGGGTCATGAACATGGGTTTTCCCAGGCCCATGAACACCTGTCCAGATTAGTTGGTTCACAAGTTATTTCCTGACTTTGCTGCTGCTGCTTGAAGAGGGACAAAGACCCTGCAGGAGGAAAGGGAATTTCAGCCTAAATTAAACTCTTAGATTCACAAATTAACCACAGAGTAGCCTAGGTTATTAAGGGAAAATCAGCAAGAATAGGGATGCTAGGATGACCTTGCAGTGTAATGCCAGTGAAATCTTGTCCTGCCTCTTAGTGGGTTTCTTGCTTCCCCGGAGAAAACTTCAAGGTCATTGGCCTTTTCCCAGTACTGCTCTTTGCTTACTCTAATTGCTTCCTAATCCCTAATTGAAGCTGCAGACATGCTGGTTGGATGAAACCTAAGTTCCTGGAAAAAAAAAAAAGAAGACACAAATTGGCAGGAGGTTCTATGGGCATCTGGAAGAAATGAAGGACATTAAAAACTTGAAACTTCTGCGATCTCAATACATTCGGG